CTTTTTATTTTTGGCCTGCAGATCAAGTGATTTCGTGGTGTATACTGATGTACACTACCATATATAGAAAGCATACAACCATTTTTGGACCTTCCATGCACTTAAGTTTAAATTTCCTGCCCTATTTTCTGCCTCCAACCTGTTTCATTACTTTGCTGACACAATAAGAGTTAAAATGAGGCCTTCGGCCAAGCGAGAAGATGCAAGGATAGGGGGTGAGAGTTCAAAATAGATTCCAGGCAAATTTCTCATGCAAATAAATTGAGAATAAGAGTTAGCACCCAAAATAAGAAGAGTGATAGTGTACCTAAGACATGTTATCATGGTAGCTTCTAAACTAATCCACAGTAACTGACTTGATTGATCTAAAACATAAATTTAGGTAAAGTAGTACAAATTCCGAAGATACTAAGCCTCCTTTTTCAAACATGAACAAAACGGTAAAGAATATTAACAAAGTATGACGGATTTTGCACGGTTTCTGAACATGAATATAGGAATGGAATTTTAACATCTCTGCAACATTAAATAAGAGGGATTAGGGAAGGGGTTGACATACTTCAACATTTTCAAGACATCGGTCTAACATAAGATGATAATACAACTAGCAGATCAGACACAATTGTTTGGAACTATTCTAACACAAAGGCTGACATGAAGAACATGTTAAGGCTGATCTGCGAAACAACACGACAAGAAACAACACAAGTTAAAGCTAAACGATTTATAGAGTCCGATTGCAAGGCTCAAGGTTAGAAACATAAGAGAATGTTACTCCCTACAACCAGTGAGTTCAGGGCTGGAATGATTCAATTATCAAAACTTATTAAAGATGAAAGAAGAAATTCGATATTTCACAAACAGGCATAAGAATAAGCTTCACAACCATTCACTTAAAGGATTCAAAACTAGAAGTACTAAAATAAACACAAGATCGATTACAAACATCTTTACAAAAGACATATTGTCAATATACGAAATAGACTCGACCACATTCAAGCGAAAGAGAAAGATTAACAACACTAAACCCAATGAGATGTGATTATGGAAACTTTTGATGAACAAGCTCTATAGTGAGTTTCAAACACGACATTACTAGCTGAAATACAAAAGATGCAGACAACACTTAGATATACGTGAAACAGAGATAGATTCTACGAGATTAAGCTAGCATATGAGAGTTCAAAATGACAAAAAGACAACCTAGTGTACAAACGAACAGTGAGGGATAGAGCAACACAATTAGCACACTCAAAGTCTAAACCACATGAATATCCAAACTATTTCGAACAAACAAAGACTCAATCCACTTTAGAGAATCATAAACGAATCAACGACTCTAAACTACCAACAGGTGACATCCAGACAACGGTATTGATGCTTCAAAACACATTAGGCATAGGAATCAAGGCAAGAAGAACGTGTGATTTGAAACAACAAAAATTTAGACTCAAACAACTATAATTCTGATTCAAACATCTTACCGGGACAAGGCATGAATAACACAATGTTCTACCAGAAGTTCTAATCATAAAGTCAATAAACCATGGACATTTATATTTCAACGAAGCAAGAATGAAACCAAGGATAACCCAACAGAGACATGTTCGTCACATAATAATCAAAAATGAAATGAAAACGTAAACAAAAGAGGAGGTATTATCTTTTTTCCAGGCAGCGACACATAAACCAAGAGCCAGCAATGACTTCACCACAAAACTTCAACAAACAACAAGAGGAGTTAATATCTCATACAGTCACTCAACTTTGAGTAGTCCACTTAGAAAGTCACTTAACTTTGAGTTGTTCATTTAGAAAATCATTGCACTTTGCTTTATAACTCAAAAAGTCACTCAACTATTGATATTTCACTTAGAAAGTCACAAACTTTATCTATTTCACTTACAAAGTCATCCAATCAATTTTTTTTATTAAATTTTATTTTTAAAAAAATAATAAGATATCTATTTTATTATCTTATGATTCGCTCCAATTATTCAATCATGATTTTTTTGAAAAAACGTACAGTTGCAAATCGCTCCCCCCCCCCAAAAAAAAAATCCAGTCTAGTAATTTTAAAAATAAATTAAATTATTAAAAAAATATCAAAAAATAAAAGTTGAAATTGATAAGAGGTAACTAAAAAATGTATAGTACCCATCTTGTACTATTTTAATTTTTTAAGAAAAGGTAAAAACAAAAATTACATTTCAATAAAATAAGCATCTTATTTTTTTTAAGAAACATTTTTATTTTTACCAGTTTTAAGTAAAAAATCTTTAAATTGATGTTGTGACTTTCTGTGTGAAATATAAATAGTGGGGTGACTTTCTATGTGACACACCAATAGTTGAGTGACTATTATATTATAAAACAAAGATGAATGACTTTCTAAGTGAACAACACAAAATTGAGTGACTTTCTTAGTAAACTATTCAAAATTGAACGACCATTTAAAATATGAACTCACAACAAAACAGAATAAATCCGAACCTAAAACTCCCAAGTTCTTATTGTTTGGAGCCTATTTTTATATATTTCGATTGATTGAAACAAAATGTGGCTAGTAATGTTGTTGTATTCTTCTTATCTAATGCCTGCTGATTCCAACTAAAAAAAGTCGTCCCCTTTATCATGGGAGTAAATAATGATTGGGACAATTTAGGGGGAAAAATCTGTTGGATCTTTTAATCAATTTGTTCCTTTTCGGGGAAACATTAAAAAGTAATGGGAAGTTGTATTTGCTCTGAAGCTCCGTGAGGGGGGGGGGGGAGGGGGAGGGGGGAGGGGGGGGGATTTACATGAGGGTGATGGGTCTTCAGGCGAGGAGGATGGCGAGGGTATATTGTTGTGCTGTTTAGAGTAAACGAATCAAGAGATCTTACATAATTTTGTACACGTTTGGTACCTATTTTTGGGGTTTTCTTTGAACTGTTGGGCTCTTGCGGGTTAGGGGGAGCATCATTGGAGAAAATATGTATAGGGATCGTAGGTATGGATATTGTACGTTGTATTGTATTGTATTGTATGTTAAAAATTAGATCGTGACTTCTTTTGAATTGGGTTTTATTGAGGAATTGGATTGGTTTTTATGGTGGGCTGCGTATTGAGTTGGGTTGGGAATTGGTTGAAGGAAATGTGAGCAGAAGGGCCCAAATTTAGCATAGAATTGGGTTCAGAAAAGGAAAAATCATCAAATAATTTATAAATTTATCTAATGAATTAAGAATGTAGCCAAATTGATTTCCTTTAGTAAATTCGGCTAGTAATTGAATTAGATGAATTATATAATTAGTTGACGATCTTTTTAATCTTAACGAAATAAAAATAATTAACTTAATTATAAACAAAGTTACTCAAAAATATAAATGTAACTTAAAATAATCAAACAAATACATAATAAAAGAAAATATCTTTTTGAGATCATTTTTGAATATTCTTAAATATACTAATTATATCCATAATCATATAAAACACATATATTATTTAAATATTATAATAGTGATACAACTTTTCAAAGTAACTTGAAAACTGTATTATATTATTTGATATTTTTGAAATTTTATAAAAATTATTATTTCAAACCGTTTGAAAATGAAGAAACTCGATGATTAATCTATAATGTGGAGGTCTAAAATTGGGTGTGAACAAGCTCTATTAACTCATGTAAGCTCCATTTTATTGGGGATGTCAGGGGATGTTTTCCTTTCTGGTACAGTTGGGTATAGTCTGGGCCTTGTCCCAATAGTTCTTATGTCACTCATAGAAGCTATTGTGGACACAATATTTTGGATTTTCTTTTGTATGTTTCAACCTCCATCCAATTGTTGTGGCGTGTATATATGTGTGTGTAAATAAGAATGTCTTAAGTTGTGGCCTCATCGGCTAGATAGGACTCCCTCTGTCCCTTTTTACTTGTCCACTTTTGAATTGACACACCTATTAAGAAAATAAATAATGACATAGTGAGTTTACCATTTTACCCCTATTAATTATGAAGTGGGTGAAAAGTTCTACATTTTTCAAAGTAATTAGTCATTTAATTGTGGGTATAATAGGTAAAAAAATTGTCCTTTCTTGATTTGTCAAAATGGACAAGTATTAGGGACAACTATAAAAGGAAAAATGGACAAACAAGTAGGGACGGAGGTAGTATATCTTTAATTTTTTTGGCCTGTCTAGCATTGTTTGTATGGTTTGTTCTCATTCAGGTCACGACCTTCAGGTTCCAGGCTTCACTTTTTAGAGGTTGTTCTGCCCAATCTTAATGTCTCACACTTTGGTTTAGCTAGTATATTTTATGGGGTAACTCGATCTTATAAGATATTGAGTCTTAGTTGCTACCCTTATTTTGGGATGTGACCGTTAGCAATAAACATATATGTACATAATAATAAAACGTAGTCATATAAAATCATAATAGACTTAAAAATTAAAACAAACTTAATATAAATAACTTGATAAAAAAACATGAAACATTAATTTAAGATTACATTGTGAAGTGTAAAAGAAATATCTAAACATGATGACAAACAAAAAGTGAAAGCAAATTAGTTTGAACCTTGAATTCACACAAAGATGAAATATTTTTTTATTTTTTAGAAGAGGACTTTCTACTCTCTATTTCTTATGATTTTTCTTCTTCTAATTTTCCCTTTTCTCGTCTATTTTTTTTCTCTTTGAGATGAAAGAAGAAGGAGTTTTAATATATGATTAATACTAACACCACTTTTTTAAAAAACATTACATCTAACACATGCATTGAATGTGACACCCAAGACCGATAATATAATATCTTCTTTTTCTTTCTCCAAGATAAGATTAATTGGAAAGCCTTTTAGATGAGCCATTTCTTTTGTTCATTAATTGAATATTGGATAAATTATATAATTACACATCACTTATTATCATATTTTCTTATTTTCGCAACCATTTCAAAGAAGATCAAAAAACCATTCTTTTGCTCTCATCATTCCTTTTTTTTTTGTTGCATACATTAATTTGAAATCTAATAGTCATATATGTTTTTCATTTTCATTTTTCACGTCACAAATCTCTCCACAATTACCTTTAGTAATCCATTTTTTATTTTCAAATCTTTTCTCTTTCCTTTTATTGATTTCGTGTCATTTAAGATGTACATTTCTTTTCATCACTTCAATTTAATTTTTTTTAATTTTTATTTTGTTTAGTTTTTCATCTTAGAAATTATTGAATCTGTTATTCTCGGTGTATTTACTAAAACATTTATGTACTCGATAACTTGATTCTTGATTCATTTATGTATATACTTGATAACTTAGTTGTAGTTGATTAGTTATTGATTCATTCATGTTGTATTAGTAAATTTGTCGACAAATTTGATAAAAAAATTAAGAATTTTTTCGAATAATGGGAATAATTGTTTTTAAATATTACAGTACTTATCAATCTACTAAATATTAAAAATAGTAATGTATCATGAGTAATCTATCCATCTCGAGATAATAAATTAAGAAGTTGAGTAGACAACACAATACATGTTTTTCCATATCTTTTATTATCATATCTTTTTACCCTTGAGTTAATTTAATATATAGTAATGTATTATGCACAATTTTATAAGCATTTACATAAATACATATACAGATTGTATCGTATAGGACTCTTTTAGGAATAGAATAGAATTTGTATTCTCGTAGGAGTTAACTACATCGGTTCTTGTATTTTGTATCTATAAAACAACACATTGGTCTTTCATTATCGGAATAAGATCGATACTTTGTTTTACCACCTTCATCATGGTATCAGAGTATTAGTAAATAATAACAAAATAATGACACGAAATAAAACGAAATTGTCAGTTCTCCATACACGCTGCAACCAACTGATAATCCTAGAGTATCTCTGGCCACATGTTTGCTCACACAAGATAATTATTCGACGTGGATGAGGGCCATGAGAAATTCCTTATTGTTTAAATCAAAGTTAGGTTTCGTTAATGGTAGTCTTCAGTGACCGACAACAAACTCTATAGACGAAGCTGTCTGGATTATGAGAAATTCCATGGTAATACCTTGGATTTTCAACTCGATTCATCCCTCTCTTCACAGTAGTGTAGATTTTTTTATACGACAAGTGAACTTTGGAAAGATTTGGAGGAGTGATTTTCACAAGGGAATGCTCCTCGAGTTCACCAGCTGAAGTTGGAGATAGTAAATACACAACAACATGATCAAACAATGAGTGATTACTTCTCAAAATTGAAGGGATTATATCATATTCTCAATTACCAAACTGCAGTTGTGGTACTATTAAGGAATACATAGCAGAAAGGGAAAAAGAGGAGGTTCATCAATTTTTTATGGGATTGAATGACCAATTTAAAGTTGTTCGATCTAAGATCTTAAATACTGAACCATTACCAACTCTTTCTCCTGCGTATGGATTAGTTTCACAGGAAGAACAACAACAACTCACCAAAAGCAAAGGAAATAATTTATTGGAGAAGGCTACATTTACTTCAAAGAGCAACACCAAGACTTTCAACTCTCGTCAATTGTTAGGTAATCATGATGTCTCAAAATTATTTTGTGATCACTACAAACGGTGGAGAAAAACCAATGAAAAATGCCTTGAACTACATGACTATCCATATTGGAGGGAAACAATAGAAAAGGAAAAGGTAAGTCAGCTAATTCCAGTCGAACATTAGAAGTTGAACGTGTTGAATCCTCCCAATAAGTGGTTTATGAAAACAACAATATAACCAACTCATGTCGTTTTTAAGACTCGAGAACTCGAAAGGTATTGATTCAATAGCTAACGTTGCTGGTAAGGTTGTTACTTTTCCTGCCGCTAATTATGAACCGATATTAGATTCAGGAGCACCTGATCATATGACTTGTCAGAATAATTTTTGTCTCACGAAAGAAAGCTTCTCTTTGATTCTAATATAATTATTCCCGATGGTTCTTCTGTTACTGCTAATACGTGGCTTGTAATTCTTCAGTAACCTTAAATCATGTTCTACACATACCCATGAGTAAGCTGACACAATCATTGATGAATTGCTCATTTCCCCCCTCCTTTTGTGTTTTGTAGGACTTAACCACGAGGAAGCTAATTGGCATGGGTATACTGAAGAATAGCCTTTATTATTTTCAAAGTCAAGCACTAGTTTTAACTCTTTTGTCAAATAAAGACCAGATAGTTTTGTGGCATCAAACATCTAGGTCATGCGTCTTATAGTCGTTTGACTTTCATTTCAGAACTTCAATTTTTTTATTTTAATAAGTTAGATGACTATTGTGATGCTTGCCACCGAGCTAAGCAAATTCGAAAGTCATTTCGGGTGTGTTTGGTATGGAGGAAAATGTTTTTTGGAAAACATTTTTCTATTTTCTTTTGTTTGGTTGCAACAAAATATTGGGAAAACATTTTCCCAAACGACTTGTTTTCCTAAAATTAGAGGAAAACGACTTCCGTAACAAATCTGTGGAAGTCATTTTCCAAAAAAGAAGCCGACGCAAAATTCACCCCTCGCATATCCCCACTCTCAAACGTAGTGAAGGAGGTTGTTTCTATATTATTTCTCCAGCTTGTTCCTCTCCAAATTTAGGGTTCCCATTGTTGTTCTTCTCATTCATATTTCTGTAAGAAATTCGAAGGTATGCTTTCAATAATTATAGTTGTGCCATTTTTGATTGCGAAGTTCTTCAAAATATTCATCTTTCACTTGCTTCTTTACTGAAATACTTGCTCATGAGTTTTAATTTGACTTTATTTGGTGAATTTATGCATTTGATTCAATATTTTTTGGTAAATCTATGAATTGTGGCCTACTACTTTCGATTATTTCATATTTTTCTGGGATTTGACCCAAGTATGTTTGGTTGTGTGTGTAATGTTATTTGTTCACAAATATGTAGATTTAAAATAGGATTTTAGATTTTGATTTGTGGTTAAGAAATGGAAGATATGGAGGAGTGATGTTAAGGGTTTGAAACAGAGAAATGGAGTTGGGTCAGAAGGGTCTGATTGTTCATCAATGAACAATGATACTTATACAGCTGTTGTTGCTGCTGTAGTTAGAGCTCCTCCTAATGATTTTAAGGCTGTTAGGGAAGAATGGGCTGCAATTAGGATTCAAACTACCTTTCGTGGATTCTTTGTATTCCCTTTAGATTTCTTGTTTTTTCCTTTTTATTGGGTAATTTGGAGGAAAGGCATTTCAATTCTCTGCTGGTTTTGATATTGATTTCCTCAAACTTGATCAGACGTTGTTATAAGCCTTGACAGATTTTCTTATTATGTTCTTTTCTTTGTTATATCATAAAACACAATTACGTTATATTGATCGTTGGAACAGATGGATATGACAAACAAAGATGAAGATGATGCAATAGTTGGAGCTGTAGCTACATCTGTTTTAGCTTTCGGAGTTGCGATTAATGTAGCCTATAAAAATCAAAGTAGCATTTCTAGAGAACCTTAAAGGAATAAAGATCAACAAAGGGAATTTTACATGAATAGTATTTTGAATGGAAGTGATGTTCATTGTATAGGACAAATAAGGATGAGCAAGCATGTGTTTTATGAACTATGTAATGCTCTTACAAGAAACAATTTGTTGAGTTCAAGCAAAAACATGTCTATTCAAGAACAAGTTTTAATATTTTTAGAGATCGTTGGTTTTAATGAACGATTTCGCAAGATTGGATCACACTTCTATAGGTTAATATTCATCGATGCTTTCACATGGTACTTCAAGCAGTTTTGAAGCTCTACTCTATCCTTATAAAACCACCAGATGGTGGTATTCAACCGGAGATAAGGAACAACTATCGATATTATCCATGGTTTGCTGTAAGTGACATACTAAAATTTCAATCATTTTATGAAAAATAGTACATATTATTAACTTAGTTGTATATAGAATTGTATAGGAGCAATAGATGGCACACATGTGCTTGCATCCATTCCTATTGAACAACAAAGTAGATTTCGTGGTCGAAAAGGCACAACAACACAAAATGTATTGGCTGCCATCAACTTTAATTTGAAGTTCACGTATGTACTAGCTGGTTGGGAGGGATCTGCTCATGACTCTCGCATATTAAATGATGCATTAGAGAGACCACATGGGTTTCAAATCCCCCAAGGTATCTTATTCAATCTAAAGTAGTTTTATCGAAAAAATTAGGTGGACAACGATATTAATTAACTATATCATGGCTTTGTAGTAAATTCTATCTTGGAGATGCGGGATATGGACTTCGTAAGGGATTCATTCCTCCTTATCATGGAGTACGCTATCACTTACAAGAGTATAGTGATCATCCACCCCAAAATGAAAAGGAATTATTCAATCTTCGGCATGCATCATTGAGATCCACAGTTGAACGTGCCTTTGCTATTCTCAAGCGACAATTTCGTGTAATTGATAATGAACCCTTTTGGGACTTTAAAACTCAAGTGGATGTGGTATTAGCTTCATGCATTTTACATAATCACATAATTAATTTGGAGCCTAACGACATGATAATTCAAGAAGTAGATGTGGAACCACTAGTTCAACCTCAAAATGTTCAAATTACTCAAAGCTCTCAAGGGAGTCAAAGCTCTCAAGGGAGTCAAAGCTATCAAACCCAAAGAGAGAGGCGTGAAGAAGCTAGAGAATGGTCGTTGAAAAGAGATGCCATTGCTCATGCCATGTTTACCGATTATGATAGGAGGAGGAATTAGATGTTCTTAAAGAGTAGGTATAACTATCAAGTCAAAGTTCCTGATTTAATTTTTAGATGACCTGATTTTGTGAACTTTATCTTGCTATTTTTTCTAACATTGTTGCTTTTACCATTCTTGTTGTTCTGATAGCTTAAATGACATGGGTATAGAGTTTGAGCTGGAGTAGGTTCATGTATTTTGCATCCACTTCAGTGATAATCTGTTGAAAATTCATTGTGAAAAATCCCTTTTTGGGATGTCAGGATTGTTTGCTTTTACCATTCTTGCTGTTCTGATAGCTTAAATGACGTGTGTATAGAGTTTGAGCTGGAGTAGGTTCATGTATTGTGCATACACTTCAGTGAAAATCTCTTGAAACTTCATTGTGAAAATCCGTTTTTGGGATATGGGATTTGTTTGCTATTACCGTTCTTGCTGTTCTGTTAGCTTAAAGTACACAGGTATAGAATTTGAGCTGAAATAGGTTCATATATTCAATCCAGTGTTAATCTCTATAAACTTCAGCATGAATATCTCTTTAGGAATATGGGTTCTTCTTATCCTTACTTCTTGCTGTTTTGTCAGTTTAAACGACATAGGTTAGAACTTGAGCTAGAATAGCTTCATGTATTCAGTATTCACATATATAGCTATAGAATGTAATATCTGACTAATATCCAAGCAATCTTGTCACCTAACAAAACCCTGTTTACTTTATCAAGAATCAGCAGATTGTCCTTTTGCTTACAGATCAGAAAAGACTGTCAACACGGTGTCTGGTGAATTTACTGCAGATACATGTAAAAATGTGGTTGTCACTTGGTATATAAAGACTAAGGCAGGAATCTACTGAGACTATATAATTGTCATCTTAAGTATTAGAGTGGGGGAGTATTTCTTATATTTGAATGTTTTCTGTAACAGCAAATAATGGGCAAAAAAGGAGAGAAGCAGTTTAGGTGGTCAAAGCCAATGAAATATTTGATGTTGGAGATCTTAGCGGATGAAGTGAAGCAGGGAAATAAATCAACCAATCAGTTTAAGGTTATCTCATTCAATCGTGTTTCGAATGCCATTAATGAACAATTAGGAATGGACTGTTCTCCAAAGCATGTGGAGAATCATCTCAAAACGCTAAGAAGCACATGGAATATAGTGCAAACTCTACTAAACAAAAGTGGTCTTGGAAGGGATGACAACTTGAAGATGATTACTGCCAGTCCCAGAGTGTATGCAATGCATATTCAAGTAAGGTTGTTGTATCAGTATTGACGTCATTTATGCAACTCTATGAATATTCAAGATATTCATGAAATATCTTAGAAATTAATTTTTGACTTAAACGCTGTTTTTTTGTTTGTGAGAAACTAAAGAGTTGAGGCTTTAGTTTTATAGGAAAAGAAGAAAAGAGAGGGGTGGTTTTAGTTCTATATTTCTCCATTTCATGAAGTTTATGTTACAATTGTGTTATATGTTGATGTCTCTTGTTTAATACCATACTTTTGTCATTTATATGGTAGGCGCATCCTAGTCATGATAAGTTCATCAATAAGAAGATTGATATGTTTGAAGAAATGTCTCTTGTTTGTGGGAATGATCCAGCTAGGGGTGATTGTGCTAAGTCATTTGAAGATATAGGCTTGGATTGTAGTTCAGAGAAAGGTAATGAAGATGAGATTGAAGGACCGCCTAAGGCAAAAGAAGTGCAAGATGTGAGTGAAACTTCTCAAGTCAAGTCAAGTCGTAAAAGAAATCGTCCTTCTGATGTGCAAGATGTGGTCGGTGATATTTCAACAAAACTTGGAGAAGTGGCAGCAGCAATAAGTAAGATAGCTGATAGCCGATTAGATGTGACGAGGTTGTATGAAGAAGTTATGGCAATTGAAGGTTATGGGGAAGAGTTCTTAGGGGATGCTTTTGACTATTTGGTACAAAGTGATACTTTAGCTAAGGGATTCATGACTAAAAATCAAAATCTTCGTAAGGTTTGGTTGGAAAGGTTCAAGCGACTACATAAATAGAATATATTAGTGAATAGGAAGAACATAACTCTATATAGTACTACTATTATTAGAGGACTTGATATCTTTTTGCTTGAATTTGATTTGTGTGCTTGAGACAAAGTTGTTTTACATGTTTACAGATTGTTAGTTTGTTGATTTAATGGTGTTATTGAACTAAGTATTCACAATTGTATTATTATGATATGTTTGTACAACTTACTGTTTGATATGTGTGTGGTTTACAGAGATGAGCAATTGTGCACAATAATGTGAAAAACTTCAAGGCTCACTGTATAGTATAGTGTTAGCTAAAACTATGTACTAATGTATGGTATGCTATTTTCAAATTATTTTTTTGACTAAAATGACAGTTCGATACATAAAATATCTTATATTCATTGCAAAATTAGAGATCTTATTTAAAAGATTAGTATTTGATAGTTTGTGTAGAAATAATAGAAAAATATCAAGTTCTAGTGGGGAGTTGGGGGTGAAAGAGCATAGAAAATTATTTTCCTAAAAAAATTCCTCACTCACCAACCAAACACTAGAAATTGTTTTCCGAAAAATGTTTTCCACTCACTAACCAAACATAAGAAAATAAGTTAAAAATCAACTTGTTTTTCTAGAAAACATTTTCTAGGAAAACATTTTCTATGGAAAACATTTTCATTCATACTAAACACACCCTTCATGTTAGTTCTATTAAATTTAAAGAAGCTTTTAATTTGATTCATTGTGATTTATGGGGTCCCTATCATTCACCTTCATTGTCAAAGTCTCATTATTTCATGACTATCATGGATGATTTTACCAGAACTACTTGGGTGTATTTTCTTATAATTTCATATACATGTAGAAGAAATCATGTTTAATTCTTTTCTCCATCGCATTTCTATCGTTGTCAATAGAGATACAACACACCATTATAAATTCATCAAAAATAAACTTGAACATACCTAAAAATATCCATGACTTCAATAAAAAAGAGTTTGTGGAGTCTTCGACGATGATTTTAAACTATTTGATTGATCCATCGATTAACTTGAAAAGCTTTCTTTGTAAAAGTTGCTTCGATTAGGTCTCATCAGGAAGGAACAATGCAGAATAAGGTTTCGGTTCATGATATTTTGTCGGTCATGATAATGATATATTAAGAAGAAGATAGTAAATTAGTATGTCTAAATAAAATTGTATGGTGGAAATTTTGAATAGAAGATATAATTAAATGATATATATGTGAGAAGAGAGTTAAAAGAGAGTGGTTTATTTGGATTAAGAAGATAATCAATCAATCCTAACTTTAAGGAATCTTATTGTATTTTAAATAATATATGATATGAATTATTAAAAATGATAATATATGCCATTGTTTAAAAGCAGATTTAACATTATTATATATAATAGTAACGTATGTCTAATTAAGTAGTATATCTAGTATATTATTATTGACAAAGTGATTTAACAAGGTAAAACTATTAATTATGACTGAATGATAATAAAAAAATTTAGACATGTACATATTTTTTATTGATTGATTGGGATGATTCCAATGTTTGGAATTTGGTGTAAGAAGGGACATATTTGTCATTTCAAAATTAGAGTTTTAAGGTTCACATCACCTGTCCCTCAACTGAAAACGACCGCAATAAAACGGTGGTCTACCTGTATGCATATCACACTCACATTAATATAGTTAATCGTACATTTTTCTATTATTTTTTAATAATTTCAAATTTAATGTTGTTCGTGTTACATAATATATATATATAAATTTCAACCGTGTCCATCTTTCTCTTCTCTCTATATATAAATAAATAATATAAGATACTCACACAAATGCGTCTCAAGAGCTAATAATATTTCGTGTAGACGAAAATGGCGGATCTTCAAACAGTTTGCTCCATGTGTGGTGATGTGGGCTTTCCGGACAAACTTTTTCGTTGCTCCAAGTGTCACCACCGGTTTCAGCACTCGTATGTATTCCCATATCACTTTTCTTACTCCAAATTACTTAATTTTTTCATTTTCATCATTCAATTTCTTGCTTTGTGTATCAAAATCGTCTTAATTTTATTCTTTATATATATAGTTCATAACTTAGGCTTGGTCCATGACCTTTTATTAATCTCTTTTGACTTATTTTCTTCCTTGGTTGTAGCTAGCCAAACATGACCGTTGAGATTAGTATATTTTCTTTTGCAGAAGATATCATACTCGATCTATTATGTAATTTTTTAAATCCATATATACAGGTATTGTAGCAACTACTACAGCGAATCGTCCGAGTCAATACAAGTGTGTGATTGGTGTCAAAGTGAAGGAGCAAGCTTGAGAAATGGAGCTCGTAAACTAATAAATGATAATTTCGGAATGGTCAATAGATCGGAATATTCGGGAGATAATAAAATCAAGCAAAACGATGATAAAGGGGAAGAAAGTGGTACTACTGAAAAGGCAAAAATGAATCATAATGGGAGTCCTTCACCAAAGACAGCAACTCGTAGATACAAGCTTCTTAAAGATGTTATGTGTTAAAAAATAATAAATGCAAGTGTTTTAATTTATTTAGTGTGTTTCTTTTGCCTATTAATTTCTACAAATAATTAAGTCAAAACGAAATTTTGTGGCAGTATAATTTTTGGTGTTCAATATTTTGTATCCATATTTTTTATTGCTATTAAATTCTTTATTTGATATCGTGATTTCATGGCCAGCAGATACGTAAACTATATGATTCAGCTCATTTATGAAAGATGATAAATGTCTATGATACCTTGAGACAGCGGCGGAGTTACGGGGTTTATCCGAATCCTATTCAACAAAAAAATTATATTATATTTATATATGATTAAAATAAGTTAATATGTATATATAGTAGATGTTGAATTTCTTCAATTATATATTTTTATAAATTTTAAACCGCTTATTAAAAATTCTATTTTTGCCTCTGAATTAAGATCGTATAAATTAATGATCTTTTGAATTCTGGGAGAATCATATGCACCTTTGATTCCTTGTGGCCAAATAATTCATGGTATGTAAAGCAGGTTAAATATCCTTATATATTATTAATAAATGAGTATATTATTGAAGTGTGTAGTTTCTTAACAAAAATTATATATTCAACAAGTTTTTCATGTCAGATTTGATTCTTTTTTCATAAGTCAAGCACATGATAATTCTTTTCAATAATGAGCAGTGTTAAAATTTAATCAGAGGACTTCTATGTGATTTGATATCATTTTAAAAATGTGAGAAAAAATAAATCTGAACTGATAGACAACTTTTAATTATATTTTCGTCTCATTTGTTATAATTACTTTATTGGAATAAATTGTTAATTCTCTCTTTATGTAAATTTCATGTGAGCCTAATTTGAAGATGAAGGAACCTAATAAGTAAGTCATCATATTATGTACTTATGAAGTTAAAGAGTGGATTATATTATAAAATATTACAAGTAGTAGTGGTTTCCAACTTATATTCAGTTTTATGGTTCGCAAACTATATATATCAACTAGAAGCCACATAGGTATTGGAGCTAAACATCCATGCAATGATTAACGTTTAATACATTGGATTGTGATCGTATTCTTTTGTGATGTTTTAATGGGTAAAGTGATGCAAGAGGATAGGTATGGGAGCTCGGATTAACAGATCTTTAATTGAGTAGGTCAAATATAATATTAAATAGGAAATAAATGTTTAATTATAATATAAATATATTCATATAAAAGTCACATAAGATAATAAAAATTGTAATATGATATCTAACTCTCTAAGAGTATGTATATACTTAAAGTTGAATAGTAATTCTAGACAAATATATCAAAATAATATAACAAAAAATAATATAATCATTCTCATAATATAAGAGCAAATATAATTCCTTTTTAATATAAAATAAAAGATATAGTTAGAGTACTTGGACAGTTTGGCCATCACATTCATACTAATTAAATGAAGGTCTTGTGTGAGAGAGACTGGCTCTTGTATGGTCCACATCTATTCACAAGACTAGTTCTGCTCGGCTGCATATTCCTCAACCCCCCTCCCCTCCTTTCCCCAAATCTGTCATGTGTATTTTTATTTTTATTTTCGAATTTCTTATATAATATTTTGATATTCGTATTAAAATATAATTGTTCGTGAAAAAACTTATAAGATAATAAAATTGCAATATTACAATTGAAAATAAAATGAAGAAATTAATCTCTTTAGGCTGAGGCGCGGATATCTCGCTCTCTTTAAGGAGATTGAAGCCCACTGCAGCAAATGTTTTCACCGGTCCAGCAGTAGTCCCTTTTTACTTATCCCCTCTAGGATACAACAGCCTTCACAAAGTATAACTCAACAACTCTGGACAAGAGTTGAGTCCAAATCTCCACAAAAAAGAACACCTCCCTTCAACTAATAAGAACTCTCTTTTAGACTAACTCTTTCACTCTTTGTTTTCTCTTGTGTTTTGTGTATTTCAAACCAAATGAAAACCACCACTATTTATACTACAAGAAGTCTTCCTAGCAATGAATAGGAAGATAATGGAGGTAGTAAATAGTGAAGATAATGGCCTTAGGAGTTTCATAGGTTACATATGTTACAATACGAGTTACATAGGTTACAAAGGTTTACAAAGATTAATGGAGGAATTAAGAAACAAATAAAGTGATAAACAACCAATACTATTGGATGATGTAGAAGTTCTCCATTCCAATGTTTATTGGAATGTTTTTATCTCACAATGAATTCAACCAATAAAGCCAAAAGTAATGGCATTACATGACTACCAAGTCAAAGTTGAATAACATGATTAAATTGGTAGTTTAAAACACAAATGTCTACCAATGGTCATTCTTATAACTCCAAAACAAAGCAATTTAATATGTTAAATATTATTATTAAAATGCTAATAACCTAACAATCTCCCAGTCATTTTAATATTTAGATAAGAGAGTATATCAGATAAAAGAAGACTACTATGCATAATGAAGGTGTGCTCTGTATTGAACCTCCACTTAGTGAAACAGTAATTTTTACTCCAGAGTCATAGTGGTCTCAAACTTGAACTATGACTACTTAAGGGAAATAAAATATCACTGCTCACACATAATAATCAAGGTGTTGACATGAGCTTTAACAGCCAGCACGTTATGGCCATGTGCTATTCCGGTTTCATGAGTGCATTTGAGAATAAGTCTCATTCTCATAGGAAGCGACCTACTTTCACACATCACATAGGTGAAATCTGTCGAGAGTGATCCTGTAAGATTAACACTCCACTCATACGGGCTACAGATATTCATTAAGAGTTATATTAACTCAACCTTCACAAACTACAGGAAATAATGCACTCACATCATAGGGAGGGGAAAAAAATAGTGCATTTTTCAGAACAAGTCATCATATGATTAATTTTTTTCTTTGAACCTGGTTATAGGATCTCTAGTCCCCAGGTTGGGTTTCCTCAGATATGACTCAAGGATTTGTAGGCTTTAATCCCATCCCCCTCGATGTGCTCCAGACCTTTTCTCTTGTTAAGGCCTTTGTAAGAGGATCTGCAAGATTATCACAAGATTTGACATAATCAACATTAATGGTACCATTTGTCAAATACGATCTTACATTACTGTGTTTCCTCTTTATAGGTCTGGATTTACCGTTGTAATAACGGTTTTGAACTCTACCAATTACAGCGGTGCTATCACAATGAATTAAAATAAGAGGAATTGATTTTTTAATAGGGAATTTGAAACAATAAATCTCTTAACCAATTCGCTTCCTCACTACCTAAAGCTAAAGCAATTAGTTCAGCCTCCATGGTAGAGTTAGCAATTATAGTTTGCTTTTTTGATCTCCAAAAAACAGCACCACCACCTAAAGTAAAGACATAAGCAGTGGTAGAACAGGAATCACCTGACAAAGTGTTTCAATCTGCATCACAAAAGCCTTCAAGTACAGCAGAATATTTTTTATAAAACAAACCACAATTTTTCGTTCCAATTAAATATCTCATAACTTTTGTTATAGCATGTCAATGTTCATTATCTGGCTTGCTTGTAAACATGCAAAGTACTCCTACTGCATATGCAATATCAGGCCTAGTGCAATCAGTCACATATCTCAAGCATCCGATTATACGAGCATATTTCTTTTGATTTATTACATCATTTTCACTTTCAACAGTAAATAAGTAAACACTTGAATCAAAAGGAGTAGAAACATGCTTGCAATCATGAAAGTTGTATTTTTTCAAAATTTTCTCAACATAATGTGACTGGTCAAGGAAAATCCCCTCACATGTTCTTGTTATTTTTATTCCAAGAATAAAATTTGTCTCACAAAGATCTTTCATATCAAATGGTTTCTAAGAACATTTTTAGCTTCATCAATAACATTCATGTTAGATCCAAAGATCAACAAATCATCAATATATAGGCAAATGATCACATGAGAATTATTCCAAGATTTATGACATGCACTTATCACACTCATTTGTTTTAAAACTATTTTCAATCATGCAGGAATCAAACTTTTCATGTCATTTCTTTGGTGCCTGTTTCAAGCCATATAGGGATTTAGTAAGTTTACATTCTTTGCTTTCTTGGCATGCTTCAACAAAACACTCGTGTTTGTCCATATAAATTTCTTCATTTAAGTCTCCATTTAGAAAAACAGTTTTTACATCTATTTGATGAATTTGCAAATCAAAAATTACAGCCATAGCAACTAAAAGTCTAATGGATGTAATTCTTGTTACCGGACAAAAAATATCAAAAATTTTTAGGCCTTCTAGTTGTTTAAAACCTTTTACAACCAGCCTAGCCTTGTATTTATCAATAGAACCATCCGGTTTCAACTTTTTCCTCAAGACCCATTTGCAATCAATTGTTTTACAACCCGGTGGTAAATCAACTAACTTCCATGTTTTATTAGAAATTGGAGATTCAATTTCATCATTTACAACCTCTTTCCAAAAAATAGAATCATGTGAAGATAATGCTTCTTTCAAAGTTAGAGGTCATTTTCAACATTAAACACATAAAAATCAGGACCAAAATCTTTTTCTACTCTAGATCTTTTACTTCTTCTTAACTCAAAATCAACAACTTATTTATTTTTCAAAGTTGAAGTAGAAGAACTAGGCAGTAACAAAATATTTTGTTCAATCCTTTGACCCCCACTATTTTTAGTATCAAAAGGAAATTTATTTTCATGAAAAATAGTATCACCAGATTCTATTACAATATTTTCTTCAAGATTAAAAAATATATAGGCTACTATTTGAAGCATATTGACACCAAATTTTGATCGACCTTTGACCATTTTAGAAATACTATTCGATTAAATACGTATTTTAAATTTTAGAATATTTAGCCGACTTTGCTTGAAAATTATATGTTTTAGTATGTTTTACTTTATAAGGTTATCGTAAATATTATTAAAATATTTTAAAATTATTAATGAATTTCAACTGTTAAAATTTAAATGATTTTCATTTATATAAAAATATTTTAATATATGTAGTATTTTAATTAAATAGTAATTCCTACACTTTCCTTAAATTTTAAATTCTAGCCTATTCTATCATAATTTCTTTCAATTCTAGCCACTCCAATTAAACTTTTATTACAATTATAGCCTCTCTTTCATTTCAATTCTAGCCGTTTTAATTGCAATTGTAGTCATTCCGTATT